GAAAATGCTAGGAGGCAGAATTGGGTACAGCGGGAAAAATCCCTAACTTTTAGTTTGTCTTTTTTTAGGATTCCCAGGACAACCCAATCTAAAACAATATGTCTTCTCTATGACATGGCCTCATTAGTTAAGTCTAACTGCCCATTATAGTGAGAACCAGTATAGCAATACATATGGAAGTCTTTTTTTTAGACTTCCTTTTTTATTATTATTGCTATCATTTTATGATACAGTTCCATATTCCCTTATCCCTTCTCCAATTCTCCCCTCCCCACACCTAGTTCGTCTATATCATTACTAACATCTACTTCTTCATACTCAGTCATATGTCCACCATTGCAGGCATGGACAATGGCAGAGAGTCCAGAATCCTATTGTCAAGATACAGTAAACTGTTTCATTCTAAGTCCATCTTTGGAAGCAGAAATGCATACTACACTGCATCCTCACATCTGAATGTGAGTCTCCATTACATAACTACTGTACATTCCCTTAAATGAAAAGTCATGGTACAAAATCAACAATAGAAAGAAAAATAGAAATTTACAATGCCATGAAGTTAAATGACATGTTACTAGATAGGACAATCTCCATTACACAGCTACTATACATTCCCTTAAATGAAGAACCACAAAACAAACTTAACATCAGGGAGAAAAAAGAAATTAACAACACCAAGAAGTTAAACAACATGCTACTAACTGACTAACGTGTAGCTGAAGAAATGAAAATCAAGAACCTTCTTGAAGAAAACGATGCCATTGCATGATCTACGAGTCATTGAATGATTTAATCAGAAGAAAGTGTTTTGAAGAGACGAAAGTATCGAAAAACATCAAAACCCATGTGATATAGTTTCCGCTGATCTTTGTTGGAGTGTGTCTCCTCCAAACAATAAAGAGATGGGTTTTGTTTTTTAATCCAGTCTACTAATCTATGACGTTTGATTGAGCTTAAGCCATTTACATTCAGAGTTAAATATACATGGGTGGTACTTCGGTTCTGTCATTTTAGGAATGGGTTGTTCATTGGTTTAGTCTTCTGTTGTCATTTTACTGGGATGTTCTTCCCGTTTGCCTTTGGTTTTGTTGCTGCTATTCCTCTTCTCTGTCAAGAGAACATCTTGAAGTATCACATGTAGGGCAGGTTTGAAAGAGGCAAATTCTTTTAACTTTTCTTTACTCTGGAAGAATTTTATTTCATTTTCAAAGATGAAAGAAAGCTTTGCGGGGTATGTTATCCTAGGCTGACAATTTTTTCTTTTAGAATCTGGAATATGTCACTCCATTCTCTTCTTGCCTGTAGAGTTTCCTGTGAGATCTCCTGTAAGCTTAACTGGCATTCCTTTTTACAATTGATGTTTTTCACGTGCACATTTAAGGATCTTTTCCTTATGTTCAATTGAAGAGAGCTTGATGATCATATGTCGTGGTGAAGATCGCTTTTGATCAAGCCTGTTGGGAGTTCTGTGTCCCTCCTGGATGTTGTTTCCCAATTCTTTCTCCAGCTTAGGGAAATTTTTCTTTATTATTTCATTAAATACATTTGCAAACTCAGTTTCTCTTTCTGCACCTTCTGGGACTCCCATACCTTTTTTATTTGGCCTCTTAATCGTGTCTTTCAATTCTTGAATACTTTTTTTGGCCTGATCCAGCTCTACTTCCAGCTTTTTGTTTGCTTTCCACTGGTGACAGGAGATATCTGCCAATTCTGAAATTGTTTCTTCTGCTTGCTTCATTCTATTTTGGAGACTCCACTGTACTTGTAATTTGCTCTACTGTGTTCTTAATTTCTGATATATCAGCCTTGATTTGATACATTGCTTCCTTAAATTCTTTGAACTCTTGCATGAGCTTCTCATTTTTTACCAGAAGCTTTAAAATGAGTCTTATGGATTCTGTGTGCTCCATTTTCTTGAAGTCTTCCTCAGTTAACTCTGAGGTTGGCAATGGATTTTGCTCCTTTGCAGGGGAGTTTCCGGTAATATTCATTGAGCCTTTGTCTCTTCTTTTGCTCTTGATCATTGTACTTCTAGTTAGTAGATTGTTCTTCTTAGGGCAGGTTTCCAAGCTGTGTCACCCACAGGTCTACAATGCGATTTTACTTACTGCATTGGTACACAACTTTTTGCTTGCTGCCACTTGTGCCACAACCTCCAGCAAGTTCCAGGTCTGGGTTCTTATGTCAGATATCCACCGTGGTCTCCACAGCCCCAGATTCTGGCTCACCACTCTCCAACTCCTGTGATATCATGCTGAGGCTGTACCATTGTCTCTGCAACCTTTCTCCCACTTCTGTCTGGAGCAGGTCCCAGGATTAGAGAGACACCAGGTGTACTATCTAGTTAGGTTGTTGGTGGCGCTGATCTTTTTGGAACCTGTTGGACATTAGGTCTGGGTGCCACACGGACGTATTTTGATCAGTACAATGCCACAGTCGGTATTATTTTCCTGCGGGACCTCAGCGAGTTCTTGCGAGCTCAGCACATGCGCAGTTCACTGTTGTCCCCTGCAGTTCCAAAGCTATTGCCACAGTGTGTAAAATGGCGCCTGACATACCACCACTATAGTTCCTGATCTGCTGGCCTTCAGATCCCAGGGCTACCCAGACCTGTCATGGGTGGAACCCATAGAATGCCACATAGTTGCAATTCACCGAGTTAGAAATGAGCTCACTCCCTCTCAGAGCATGCTCAGTCCTTTCCTTTCCCTTGCAATTTCCTCCTACGCAAAATGGTGCCCAATTCTGCTCTAGGGGGCTGACTGGGCTATGAAATCCACTCTGTTTTCACACTGCCCATCTGAGATTTGCTGCTCTGTCTCTGCTCCTGGTCAAATCAAAAGGACCAGCAGGACGGACAGTTCTTTGTCTGGATTCACCTCCCAAGCTCCCAGTGAAAATCCCTTCCCACCTGGTTGCTGGTGGAGTTCTGGCTGCTGGTGGAGTTTAGATCCGTGTTGGAGTATCAGTCACCGCAACACCACACTGCTGTGCCCGCTGCTTTCCTGTGTCTGTCAGTCTCCAGGTACCGCTCTGATGTTGTTCTGTCCTTTCCTATTTCCTGAAATATGTCCTCTCTGCTTCATTCTGAGTAAATGTTTCTCTGTCCGTTTAAATGTGTCTTTACCCTATTCTGCCATCTTGATTCTCCCCCCATATGAAAGTCTTGATCTACATTAGCACTGTATCCGTTAGGCATATATGATAGAAAACCACCTTGAACTAACTGTAACAAAAAAAGAAGCTTTACCAAAAGAAGTGTTTGTCTAATATTCAGGACACAGTAAAGTATCAAGTGATCAAAACTGCCAGAGAACAAGTCCATACTGAGCTAGCTTATTGATAAACCAACTAGATAATGAAGGAATAAAATAGATAGTATGATATCCTCAAGGTGTTCTCTATACTTCTCCTCTCTAAATCTTGGAAAGCAGGGTAATGTCAGACACATTTTCTTGGATTTCCCAACATGGTGAATACATGTGATTCCTCCTGACTGTCTAAATATCATGTCTCAAAGATACTGACCAAAGAAAAGGCATTCAATTCCTGAAAATAGGGACTCTGTCTTGTCTCACTGGAAAAATATGCGTCAGTGTTAGAACCCAACTGAATCAGGTTGTGAAAACAAAAATGAAAGAGAGCTAAACATGAAGAAGAGGGAAAACTGCTAAGCAAGCAAATTCAGAAGAGGTCAGCCAAATCTTGAGATGATGTACCAAAGGTTTGGAGTTCTGAATGCAAGTTTTCAGAGCAGAAAAGGAGACAAAGAGAAAAATAAATGCTGCTGTACTATTTTAGAATATTCATATTTCTTCAGGAATAATTTAAGGGTAACATCTATTTAAGGAACATTTAGTTTCTTTGTGGAAGCAAGGATGTTCTTGATTAAGATAAGTGATTCATTTGGTTTAGTTTTATACAAAGAAGACAATTATCAGACATTTTATATTTCTGGCTTTGTACAACTGAGCTAGGTTTTTATCTGGTATATGTTGCATAATTCTGGCTAATTCTTCCAACCAGCTGTGTGGGAAGAGCCAAGGGAGCTCCCTCAAGTTCTCCTTCCAGCCAACTCAAAAAGTTCAGAGGATGAGAGTCCAATCAGTTCTGCCCTATGGCTTGAGCCAAATACTATCTTAGTTTTCTGTGCTTTCTTTCACAGCTTGTTAGATTGTGTGCTTTCCATGACTCAAGGATTGCTGACATTTGAATTTAGATTTAAACTTTGGAATAGATGCAAAGAGAACAATGAGACCTTCTACTCAACATTGGTCTTAGACTGCTTAGGCTCAATTAACTAAGCCAAGAGAATCAGTGAATGATCAAGGCTACCCAGCCTACAGCAGTAGTTCATGGAACTTTGGAGTCCACTTCAGACAATAACAAAGTATTCCTTTGTTTGGATTTGTGAGTACATGTTTTGGATTTATGAGTACAAGTCAAGACAAAATTAAGGTGCTTAAAATACTCTGTCCTGACAATCATATGTCTATTCATGAAAATCTTTTAGAGTTCACAAATACATATATTTACATATTCACATATTCAAAAACTTTATCATAACCAAAAATATGCATGGATCTACATATTTATAAAGAATTTATTTATGCTAATATAGGTCTCTAAAACATGATTTCAGGTATTTTTGTTTGTTTATTTTTTATTTATTGTTGGTTTTAAAGATTTATTTATTTTTATTGGAAAGGCAGATTTACAGAGAAAGGAGAGAAAGAGAAAGATCTTCCTCTCTGGTGGTTCACTCCCCAAATGGTTGCAACTGCTGGAGCTGAGGTAATCCAAGCCAGGAGCTTGGAGCTTCTTCCGACTCTTCCATGCAAGTGCAGGGTCCCAAGACTTTAGCTTGTCCTTGGTTGCTTTTCAAGGCTACAAGCAGGGAGCTGGAAGGGAAGTGGAGCCGCTGGTACATGAACCATCATCCATATGGGATCCTGGCACATTCAAGGCAAGGACTTTAGCTTCTAGGCTATTGTGCCAAACCCATATTTGTTTATTTTTCAAACATGCTTGTCATCCTTGTGCAGCAGCCATGTTAATCTTCTCCATAGCATTACAATTTTAGTTTATGTAAAGGTTGAAACCAGCACAGCTTTCAGATACTTTTGTTAAAAATATTCTGAGTTCCCTTTAACCAATTTAGATGAGAATACAAAGGACTTTACTGCTGCAGCCTAGAATTCTTTCATATTTCTTCTATTGCCCTGATAGTTTTTATTGGGTCACCTAACCTGGGATTTGTGTCTTTCTTATTTAAAAGTCCTCATTACTATTTTCAGAGTAGTCTTCACTTTTTTTTAATCTGCAGATGCTCAAATTTCAATACCAGTTAATTTCTATAGAGAGTTAACTCCTCTAATATGTTCCACCAAATGCTTGCAGCCTAATTTATTTTCTGACCTTGAAATGCTCTCTTGCACTTTGACTCTCTTCATTCCTTGTCTGTTTCTTTCTTTCTTTCTGGGATAGATGGATGGATGGATGGATGGATGGATGGTATGTTGAATGCGTGGGAAGAAGCAGGAATGGGAAGAAAAAGGAGGGAAGCAGAGTCTTAGAGAACAATAGTATTGTGTCCAAAATTTTGCAAAACAGTTGTCTCCAGAAGGGTTGATAACAGCCTTTACTTTAAACAAAACATGAATATTATATATAACATGTTCTATGTCAACACTGACTATAGCAGTTGAGGGTAGAATGCTTCTGTTTAAAATGACACCCTGCAATTATAATAGATGTGGTTAAAATTTCACATTTGTTTCCTTCTTTTTCAGTAGAGTAGAGCCACTGGGCAATAAAGTCACAGGAATCTCAGAAAGGGCAAATGAAACTCTAAAAAAGAGAGACTGCGGTTGCCAAATGCAATCATTTCCCCACTGTTTCATGTCTTGTTCTTGGCTTCCTTTTCCTGTGCTTTGGACATGAATCAGAGAGAGACTTACTGGGGATTCTGAGTGGATTTAAGGGTGAATTTGGCACCTTTGGTGGCCTGAATTATCTCAAATAACCCACAGGGTCTGAAATTAGTTGTTGCATTACTGAGAAGTCTTATTTGACTGAGAAGGTTAATGAATTTGTGATGTATGTTCACCTTCAAATGACTCTTCTTTCTTACGTTATTTCTATTTGTGCCAACTTGTAAGTATCACCATAACATAAGGAAAATGAATTAGAATTAAAGTACAGATATGCTGTTACTATTCTAAAAAAAGGAAAATTTAAACTAGTTACTAAGCCAGTTATAAACTGTGTCATGACATGAGAGGAGGCAGATGTGGAGAATGTGTTGAAACACTGGCCCTAGTGAGTGACTTGCTTTAAAACTAAATTTGAATAGATTCTAATTTCAAACATAAACTCTCACTACCACTCTCCCTTGTCGCTTGATGTGTAAGACTGGGGCACATCTTAACAACAGCCTGCAGTCTTTGCACTGTCTCTACCATTCTCAAGTAGCCCTTGGTTGGTTTCTGGTTAGTATCCAAGACACATGAAAGCTGACTGGGACCAAGTGGAATTATTTTACCTGCAGAGCAAAGGTGCAGAAAGTTCCTATGGGTTTGTATACTTCCCATGCCCCCCACTTCTTGGCCAATTACTGAAGCCAAAATAGGAAAGCCAAACTCTTTTCCTTTCTGCTTAGCATTCATACTTGGGCAAAGTTTTGCATTTTTGAGAATTGTCAAAAAATAAAAAGAGGCTGAAGCTGACTCTATCGCATTTCTGCTCTGCCAACTTCATTCTCTCCTGGGATCCTTGTGTGTGCCTCTTCTACAAATCTCTTGGGCACAAATCCTTGTCTCAGGATTGGGATGCTACTGAGAAACCTTCCTCAAAGCAAGATGCTATATTAAACAGAAGAAAAAAAATGCTAAACTTGGAGATATTCTGCATGTCCTTGAGTCCACCCACGGAATGTCATCTGTCAGATGTGTCCCACCATAAAGCAAAACAAAATAATTGAAATTGCTCATTAAACTAAGTCTGGATGAGAAATCTATTTATAAATTTGCATGAAGCTTTGCTGTTGTTGTTGTTACTTTAACTAAAATGCCTGTGAAAACCCTTTTAGGAAAGAAGTTTGATTTTGCATTGAAGTTTTTAGGTTAAAGAATATTGATTTAGGTTTACAGTTTTATGGCTTGGGACCCTGCCCCCATATGGGAGACCCAGAAGAAACTCCAGGTTCTGGGTTTGGATTAGCTCAGCTCCAAGTGTTGGGGCCATTTGGGGTGTGAACCAGTGGATGGAAGGAAGGTCTTTTTCTCTGTTTCTTCCTGTCTCTGTAGATTTGCCTTTCCAATAAAAATATTTTTATGGACCCGGCATGGTAGCTCAGTGGCTAAAGTCCTTGCCTTGCATGCACCGGGATCCCACATGGGAGCTGGTTCTAATCCCGGCAGCTCCACTTCCCATCCAGCTCCCTGCTTGTGGCCTGGGAAAGCAGTCAAAGACGGCCCAAAGCTTTGAGACCCTGGACCCACATGGGAGACCTGGAAGAGTCTCCAGGCTCCTGGCTTCGGATTGACACAGCTCCGGCTGTTGAGGTCGCTTGGGAAGTGAATCATCAGACGGAAGTTCTTCCTCTCTGTTTCTCCTATTCTCTGTATATCTGACTTCTCAATAAAAATAAATAAATCTTTAAAAAATAAATATCTTTTACATTAGATTTTATATTAGGTTTATAGATTCAGATATCTGCCTGAGTTTCAGTAGTTAACTCTTATTCAAACAATAATTAAAACATTAATGTCCATGCAAGTTTAAAGATTTTTACATGAATTGGGAGCTGGATGGGAAGAGAGAGAAATATGTCAGAATTGGTATAACTTCTTAAATTATTAATTAGACTGTTGGATTATTTAAATTCCTCAGATGATAATAAAATTTCCAAATCAGTTACACTCTAGGGAAATGTGAAAAGAATATCAGGGCAGAAGAATTAGAGACAAAGAACTACCAATAATCAGAACTAATAATAATGTCTAAAGTTTACAGGATACCTTCTGTTCCAATTATCTTTCTAATGCATAAACATGCTGGTGTGCATCCATTAAAATGCCCCTGTATTTATATATGTAAGTATTATTAGTGTATTGACTGCGTCACAACCAAGTCTACAACTTTGCAACTATTACTGTCTTTGTATATTGTATGGAAAAACTGCAACATTGAAATATTATGAAACTTGTCAAAGGTTATCATACAAGTAGTGGTAGAAAGAGTTGGTGCCAGGCTCGATGCTTGTATTCTAATCCATTATGATGCATAACTACGTCCCTAGGAGAGAGTAAGGGAAATTAGGAGAAAGAGGTAGAGAAAGCAAGCAAGAAAGAAAAACAAGCTGAATGTGCAAAATCTGAGTGATCCATAAAGGTAAACCATTAAGTGAAAAGGTGACAACAGCGATACCCACACTGCACAGAAGTACTGAGAAAGTGAAAAGTCATATACAACAAAATGGGCATGGATACTTTCCAAAACAGACCATTATACAAACCAAGGCAGGAAGATGAGAATGTAACTCAGCGGCATGTCAAGAGAACAGGAGGGGCAGTGAAAAGGTCTTAGACTGGAGTTCAATTAGGAATTGTTTAAATATAGAAGAAGTGGTTATAGCAGTTTGCTGTAAAAGCACCTATCCATCTCCAAGGAACAAAAGAATAGAAATAACATCAGCTCTCTCTTAAGGTTAAATAAGTCCAAGATTCAGAGCATCCATTATCCACTGATGTACAAAATGCCCAACTTAATGGCTTGAAACAGTACACATTGTAGCACACGTCATCAGTTTGTGAGTCAGGAGTTTGGACATACACAGCTTGGAATGCTGACTCAGCAGTTTTCGCTGAGCTGGGTCTGAGGTTTCTTTGCACCCTGCTATGTTCAACTGCAAGGTAAGACTCAGAGAGACCCATCTGAATATGCCCACATCCTCTTCCTCTCCCCAAGCCCAGCAGGGTGGCCTGATGTCCTATTTTGTGTCTTGGTAATTTAGCAGACTGAGCAGAAACTGTCAGTCTCCTAAGATGAAGATCTAAAAGTACAATGGCCACCTACACTGGCCATCAGATGTCAAAATTGTCATAACATCCCAGCCTCAAAGGCAGGGCAAATAATGTTGCAACTCCTGAAAAAGAGCGGCAAAGAGCAGGTGGGTAATGTTTATCTACTACACCATTCTAGCAGAGATTAGAAAGTGATACACAGATGTTTGAGAAGCTAGCAAAAGCTCAAGTAGGAACATTTCCAGAGTGTTCCTAAAAGAAAGTATTATGGCAAGTCAGAACTTAGGAATAGAAAATGCCCCTGAGATAGAGAAACTGAGGTTTTGATAACAGTGACAGTCACACAACAACTCTGTGCTTATATTTGGAACTAACTAAATGTTCTGTACCAGATGGTCCAGAGGTTCTCTTCATGACCATGATTACATGTTTACTTTGCACATGCTGTCTGGACTGCCCACACAGCTATCTCATCTCGCTTGTAAGATCATATTTTAGAAGTAAGATGTAGTACATTCCATTTTTTCTCAAAGTTTCTGAAGCATCACTGATCTGTCAATATATCCGAGTGTACACAATGTATGACTTGTAAATACTCCAGCTGGGGTAACTTTTCTATTGAATTAGCTAATTAAAAGACAGATGGAGAGTGATTGTACAGAGTAAGAATGGCAAGAGGCTGTCTCTTACCCTTGCTCTCACAGCCATTAGAATGCATGCTGCTTCAGAGCAAGTGGGAGTACCGTAGGAACTGAGCAACTCTGTGCCTCACTGAGAAAAATAACTAAAAATGGGCCAAGAAGAAGAAGAACCCAAGGTCCAAAAAGTGGTTACATGCATTCTTTGTGCAATCTTTCTAGACGCAGCACAAGAGGAAGCATCTTGATGCTTCGGGCAATGAGAAGTATTCAGATAGGTAGAGGACCATGGCTACCCATAAAAGGGGAAACTTAAAGATGTGGCAAGCAGACAATGCATGGTATAACAAAGAAATGTAAACCTAGATTCTCCACAAAAGGAAAAAAACAAAGTTCAATGAGGCCTCCTGCAGCCCTTTTCTTGTTCCACATCACCCAAAAA